CAGGTGCTGCCCTGGATTGTTCCCTTTTTTGACAGTGCTTATACATAGTATAGTGAGAAATCATTAATGGCCTTAATTAAGTCACGTGAAATTTAACCATCCTGTTTTAGTGGTTAAGCTAATTTCACAGAATCTAAATATAAACAGCTCTTCAGTGTAGAAGGTGTCTCTAGAAATGTGTAATAGTAATAACAGAATTGAAAATCATCATCATGGAAAAATGTTTTTCATTTAATATTTCATCATTAAGAAGGTCTTATTATTTACTATTTGTGCCCTTAATATTTACCAGAAATACCCTGAAATCCATTATCCATGGACTCATGATGTGTTTTTACACTTGTGTGTGCTCTGTGTTTATGTGTATCTGACTGAGTGAGAGTGTCTGTGAGGAATTTTTATGAGGATTCTGTAGAACAATCCTTTGATTGATGTGGGAGAAATGTTTAATACAATTAGATTTTTCTGATTGGTTATTTGAGGAGGGATGAATTAAAATGCTTAAGGGATGACTGAGTTGGATCCTTCACAGAAAAATAAAGAAAGTAATTCTATGATAAATTTTACTGGAAGTATAACGCAGACTGCCAGCAGCAAAGCAGCAGCTCCGGGGAGTTTCCAGACTCAGGCCTGCTAGAGGTGGGATGCATCCGCTCAAATTCAAACCTGCTTTCCTGTCTGTAGTGAGAACCACAGTTGTTTACACCAGTGTCCGCACCCTTTTCTGTTCGTTTATACTGACACGCATAATCAATGACATTATGTTTCCATATATGATTCTAAGTGAATTATTGTGTGTGACACGTTGATATGAAAGTCTGCAGTTTGTCGGTGTGAGAACTAAGGAGCTGACACGCTCAAGCACTGGTCTTGCCCACAGTAATCCCATGCCTGTTGTTGCTCGGTGATTGTAGGAGAATAAGTAACACCAAACTTACTTTGCCTTCTGGGTTCGAAGAGTTGCTGGAGAAATAAACACAAATTTGTATCCTCTTGGGTTCTTTATAAATTTGCGATTGTCCAAGTGGAACCTTATTTGTGTTTGTTATCTTTTAAACATCTATCTGTTGTTCATTTCCTCTTTTCTTGCTGTGGTTATTTTAGACCTTCTTAATGATGTGTTATATACACAGTCCACCCCATTTCTATCCTCTCTCATCAGAGAGAGACTTTATTGCTATTTTAGGAGGATTGTCTTTTTGTTAGGAATTGTTAATTTTCCTTCCTTCCTTCTTTTCTTCATCTTTTTTCATTTTTTTGTAGAAACAGAGTCTTACTATGTTGCCTCGTTTGGTTTCTCCTAGCCTTAAGGAATCCTCCTGCCTCAGCCCCCCAAAGCTCTGGGATTATAGGCATTACCCATCGCAGAACCTGGCCAACCTCACTTTTTTTATCATGCTAAATTTAAGATGCCTGTGGGATTTCTGAGTATACAAAGGCATTATGCAATTAGATATTTAAAAGTCTTGGAGTTTAGGAGTTCAGCATGGCTTCTGAATATAGGAAGCACTTATATGTCTGTCTGCTTATGTATTTATCTACCAGGGATGCCATGTAGGTGGGATGATGCTTAAAACCTTATAATGTTATCCACATTTAAAAGCTTAGTGGTAGGTGGGACTCAGGAAAGGAGATTATAAAAGAACAGGAAGAAAATAGAGAACTAATGAAAGGTATTATCAAAGTTAAGGAAGAAGAGAGACTTAAGAATGAGCAAGAGATAATCAATAGTGTCGCATGCCACAAGGAATCTAGGTGAGGAGAGATTTTTAAGGAGTCCTTTGCATTTAACTGTAGGTGATCTTCGGAGATTTTGGCGAGAGCTGTTTCAATTGTATGATAGTGATGGAAACCAGATACAGTGAACCGAGTGAACTGGAAATTAGATTGCAGGGGCATCAAGTGTAGACTGCTCTTTTAAGAGCATGTTTAGATGATAATATGTGCTTGAGTAAAGATTTTTTTTTTGTTGTTGTTTTATTTTTCATTTCTTTTTTTTATTAAATCATAGCTGTGTACATTAATGCAATCATGGGGTACAATGTGCTAGTTTTACATACAATTTGAAATGCTTTCATCAAACTGGTCAACATAGCCTTCACAGCATTTTCTTAGTTATTGTGTTAAGACATTTTATATCATTATCGTTAATTTTTAAAAGATGGGAGAAGTAGAGCAGAATGATCCAGTAGGAAAAGAGAGATTCAAGACAAGGAAGAGAGCACGTTTGATATAGTGAAGCCCTTGATGGATGTGGGAGGAAATAGCAAAGATAGGCTAAGTAGTCTAAGAGGAAGGATCTCATTTCCTCCGAGGATCGAGGAGAGGGTGGAGAGAAAGGAGGGCATGTCCTGGGTACAAGTAGGACATTTGGGGGTTTCCTGCATCAACTGCCTTAATTTTACTTCTGAAGGAAGAGCTATACTGCATGCCAAAATTGAAGCAAAATATGGTAGGGCTAGAGGTGAGATATTTTGGGATAGCCATCATATGAGCTACAGAAGCATGTGGAGAGCTTTCTGGATGCTAAGGAGCTGGCTGTGCACGTGTGGTCATGTCAGCAGGTACTACGGTATAATTTTCCTTAGAGGACTCGGTAACTTGATGTAGGAATTAGGAATTTTTTTAGTTCACTTCAGAGTTGATGGTTTTGTTGTTAAAGTGTAGGAGGTGAACAATTTGAAAAAGGAGTCTGAGGTGTAAGCAAGAGCATAGCTAAAGTGAAAAAATATGGTGGTTAGGTTAGAAAGCCAGAATTTAAAAGCAGCAAAAGGAATGTGAAAGTAATGGTCATCTCCTTGACAGTGAAGAACAGATACAGCAGTACGAAGGGAAGGAAAGGACTGGATAGATTGATAGTTAAAGCCAGAGGTGGGTTATCATTCTTCATATGCTAATTATTTATAATTTTCTCACTAAATGTAATTTCATTCTGAGATAAAAATAGCATTATATATTTGTTAAAAGAAAAAATATAGTTGGGGGCTGCAGAGGTATTGGGGAGTGAGGAACCTCTTGCTTTAAAAGAAGAAACATGGGAATGGCTGAAGAGGTGTGGAGTTAGGGTCATCTGAAAATAAGAAAGTTTAATAAAGGGTTGCAAGCATGGGCTCTGGAATCAGACGACCCTAGGGCCAAATCCCCAGACCCCCACTTACTAAGTATGACATTTTAGACAAGTTATTAACTACAGCAAGCCTTGGTTACTTTCTACTAACAGAGATAATAAACAATAGTGCCTTACTTTAGTTTTGTGTTGGGAGTGAATGAAGAATTGTGAATGAAGAATTATTCAATCCTTGGCACGACTCAAGTGCTCACTAAATTTCCATGATAATCATAGTTTTATTATTGCTAGCTCCTTTTTCTTTAAATCTCAGTGTGTTCATCACCCCTTCAGGTAAATTCTCCATCATGTTTTAACACCTGGTACTATCTACTGTTGTAATTTAGCTTGTTGATGTGACTACCTCCCTAATTAAATCGTTAGCTTCTTTGGTATGGAAGCCATGTCTGTTTAATCTTTCTATAAACCATGTACCTGACAAATAGTAGTATTTGATGAAAAAAATCAGGTCCATCCATCTCTCTTTTGATGTGGAATCACTTGATTATGCTAGTTAGTAAAGTTGATTTCTAACATACTGATAACGTTTTTAAAATAAGGACAAAAGGTAAACCACAATTATGAGGGTTTTATGATCTCATTTTAGAATTTTCCACACAAACAAGTGCACAGTTCTCAATTTGCTATTTTGTTTGGGTAAATGAAGCCTCTTCCAGGCTGCCTTGAGTTTAGCAAACCATATAAATACAATCCCATTGCTAGGAAAATGAAGATTATTTTCAAGGCATGTTTAAGATTTTTGCTATAATGTCAAACCATGACTTTAATCATGAGGTAAATTATATTTAACTTTATTTGAGCTGCAGATTGTGGCTAATGGAAGCTGGATCTGAAAAATTCTGCTGTTGGGGCGAAAGGAACCTGGTAAATGTTTCTAGTCTCTTCATTAGTCAGTGCTTTAGTACAGTTGACGTTCATTATTTATCCAGCTCAGATGGCCATCTTAGCTCCTCAAACCCATTCTTATTTGGACATTTGACCTTTTTAATGTGACTTTATTACCCTACGTATTTGGTAAGTAAGGCTCTGAAGAAACAGTTTATGTGACATATGGTAATTTCTGAACTTGTCATTTCCTTACAAAGTTTAATGTTAATGATTATAATATTTTATTTGCAGAAAATGTATAAAGTTAAAATATTTACTTGATCTCAAATTAAAATGTATATTAATCATGATTATTTAGCATAATTTTCAAAAATATTAGTGACCATTCTTGTTTTAGGGAGGCTAGATTTGAAGGTTTTTTCCTCCTTGATTAGAGAAATATTCTAAATAACTTTAAATTAAGTTTATTTAAAAATCTGTACCATAATAATTCACAGTAGCTTGATATAAGTGCTTCAATTCATAACATTATCTAAAACACTTTACTGGAAACTTAATATAGTGTTATTTATACTTAGGTTTTTGTTCTTATGTTGTTACTCGTTTTTATTTTATCTCAATAAAATTATATGTGCTGCCAGAAAGTGAAATGTTACATATAATCGCTACTAATAGATCCCTGATAATCTGACAAACTTTAAAATATTGACATTTCAATTGGGCAAAACTCTAGGTTCTTACTAAAATAATGCACATTGTTCTCCTCAATTACGCCTTCTATTTTAGTGACAGTTAATTGGAAATATACATATTTTCCTCTTTTGAATAATAAAATAGTTTATGCTGAGGTAATATTGTTATAAAAATTATTTTCAGCTAATACGAGTATCAAATATATAGAAAAGGACTCCTTTTTAAGTTTGATAATGAAAATTTAATACAAATTCAGTTTTAATGACATTAGAGATTCTTGTTTGATGATATGTTTATACGTTCAATTTTAACAAGACTATGTTCCTAATGTTTTATTATGCTTTATTCCCAGAATTTAACACAAGAACTGGAGAACAAGGAAAAACAGCAGCTGCGGATGTTGGATCAACTTAAGGAGATCCAGAATCACTTTAACACCTGTGAGGGCGAGCGTAAGCGCGCTGACCTTCAGATCGCAGAGCTGACTCACCACGCGGAGGACGCCACCAGGCAGGCCGAGCAGTGCATCTGTGAGTTGCAGCAGTCAGAGGCCCAGCGGGAGGAGCTGGAGAAGCGGAGAGAAGACCTGAAAGTGAAGGCTCAAGAGTCCATTAGGCAGTGGAAGCTTAAGTATAAGAAATTAGAGCGAGCGTTGGAGAAACAGTCTGAAAGTCTCGATCAACTGACAGACAAGAATAATCAGGTATAAAAGCCACATTCCTAAGGAATGGTTCTCAACTGTAACCAACCATTCATTTGTCCATCTTTTGACCAAATATTTCAGGGCCGTGCTGTACAGGAAATCAGTTAATATGTCCTCAATAGAAGAGTCATTATGTCTTGGCTTATTTCAAGGATACAAAGTTAGTTTTTTTATTTTTGAAAGCCTTTTAAAATAGTTTAATATTCTGTGGCTTTTCAGAGTTGGCCTGTAAAATAGATCCACCCCTTTCTCAGTTTAGCTTAAGTTCCCTAAATTAAATTACTCCTTGTTATTCTACAGGGTGTCCTAAAAGTTGCCTCTAAAATCACCATACATAGGGAAAATGGGAAATTGTAGCTAAATGTACCTTTATTTACGAAATATTCATAACAGTATTTTACAAAATATTTATGGAATATTCTCTACATGTTGGCCACCTCTTTGTAAAATTTTGTAATGAATTCCCAAAGGTTGTGTCTGCTGAAAAAAGTATCCTGGCATAAATCACTTGCCTTATCAGCTTTTGCTGTGGCCATCTGGAGTCACCTTGTGAATCTGATTGCTTTCACCTGCATGCTTAACCCTGCCTGTACCCAAGAGTCATGCTGTCCAGGCTAGAGTGTACTTTGTAAAATATACTTCTCACTTTTCGTAGGGTGATGTTCTAAATACTGAACTATTGGTGTAACAACGACACTGATTATTCAGCTGTTAAGTAACTAACACAGCTGAGCTAATGTGTATCGGCTGAAAATCAGCTCTGACCACTCCATCAATACCCTCCCTGGTAAATGCATTTATATAGTTTTTTTTTTTTTAATTGACAAAGATGAAGTGGCCATACCTGCATTCCCATCAGCCTTCTCCCTACCCCCTTGTACTTACAAGGAACCATATCTTTTCCTGTGAAATGCTTCGTGTTCCCTGTTAGAATCCATAGCCCCTTTTTGTTTCTTGGGACCTAATAGCCTGTCAGAAATATTCATTCATTCAATGAGTATTTACTGGGAGTAGAGCAGTGAACAGACACAAGCCTCTTCCTTTGTGGAGCTTATATTTAAAGGGTATTCCAGAAATATGCCAAGTTCTTTATAAAGTACAATTGGCCCTCCATATCTATGGGTTCTATATCAGGATTCAGCCCACCATGGATCAAAAATATTCAGGCAAAAAAAAAATTCCACACAACTCCACAAAGCAAAACTTGACCAGTGCTATGCTGAATTCCAATGACTGAAGTGATGTGTAGGCATTGTGTTATATTAAGTATTATAATTACCCTAAGGATGATTTAAAGTACAGTGCAACTTGTGTCAGTTGACTACCCAAAGGACTACAAGAAACTGGTCAGTAGGTGGAGGTGGTCAGCATACGGAACTAGGCTGCTCTGCTGATACATACACATGCATGTCCAGTCTATGAAAATTAGGTCCACTTAAGGAGGTGGTCAACTGTGGAGGTTCTATATGTGGGAGGATGTGTTTAGGTTATGTGCAAATGCTGTGCCATTTTATATAAGAGACTTTAGCATCTGAGGATTTTGGTATCCATGGGGGATCCTGGAACCAATGCCTCACTGATACTAAGGGGTGAATGTGTAATGTTTACAAAACATTCTCTATGTGTTGCCCACTTCATTTTAAAATTTTGTAATGAATACTTTGTAAGGAAAAGTACTTTTAGGTACAATTTCAGGTTTCCCTTATGTGTGGTGATTTTAAGGCAGACCTTTAGGACACCCTGAAATATTCAAATGGAAGGGAAGTACTAAATCTTCCTTCACATCACTGACTTTCCTCCCCGTGCATGTATTTTTAAATCATTTATTTGTGTATTTATACTTAAGTATTGGTTAGAAAAAAGCATTTAAAAAATGTAGTAGTTACTACTGGCCGTTTTTTGGCAGTAGGTATAATGGGCTTACTTAAATGAGTGACGCTAACAATCTTACTGAACAGCATTATTGGGTCACAAGTCTCCTTCAGACTTTGGTTTATGCACTTGTGATAACAACAAAGAACATTTCACTGATCTATGTATGCATTTCCTATCATTTTTTCCTCTTTTACAATCAGTTGCTTTAAATGGAATTTACACTCCTATTTGATTCTCAACTGATACATCTTTGGGTTGAATTAAACCCAGATGTTTATAAGATAATAAGCAGGAAAGTCATGATTGATTTTTATCCATGTTTAGTCTTGGTTTATCATTTGTGCTTTGTCATTTGTCACTTGTCAAGAACTCTGAACATTCCAGAAGAATGATTATTTGGATAAGCTGACTTTCAAAAGAAAACAAAATGTAGGCCGTTATATTTATAAAATCAATTTTCAGCATTTAAGAGTAACAGATGCTTATTTTAGACGAGCTGTCATGCAAAAGGTACTTTATCTTTTACATACAAATTTCTTAGACTTATAGAAGATGAAGGAAGCGATCACTTTGCACTTACTGTGGATTGCTTTTCATTGTAACCCATCTGACAAGTACTGGGGGCTGGCTGCCCTGAGGTAAAGCAGTTGTAAAGCTTTCAGAATTGAGTCTGAGCTGATTTGATCCTTGGAAATTGCTCTACCTTGATTATTCTGTTGTCAGCCTGATGTGGCAACTGGTTCAATGAACCTAGCTGTAAGGGAAGTAGCTAGAGAGAAGAGTGGTTGAGGGAAATTGATTGATTGATAATCATCTGGGGGTTTTACTTAATTAGAGGAAATTTTGAAGGGTCTGTATCATCAGATAGTATTTTAGTCCATGGTGCTGAGAGTTTTCTAGATTGAGTTTTTAGAATATTAAAAATTGTTAAACAATCATTTCCCAGAATATTTCTGAGATAATTATTTTGTATCACTCAGCATCACTAATGATAAGCAAAGAAGTAGTTTTAAAGTGATTGCCACAGTTAGGGTAGTATTACAATTATCACAGCAGGCATTGTAATTTCTCCTTTAAAAGCCCTAAAAATTAATGCAGCATGTTCTAGTTAGAGCAATGGTTAATCAAGGAAAAAAAGAATGAGGAGTGTTTTACCACATATTCAAATGTCCAGTAAGTGCTGTAGAAATATATGGCAAATAAGTTTGGAAAAAAAGTGTATTTTTAAATATATTACTGAATGCATTACCAGGGGATATTTAATTCTGAATAAAATCACTGAATCACCTTAAGTCATTAGTAATACAGTCTACTCCCTCTTTGAAAATAATTTCAATAATTTCAATAATTATTTTCAAAAAGTGACTCCACACTATATTTGGAAGTTTACATTAAAATAAAAGTGATATTGCTTTACAAATATAATATGCTACACTTTAAAGAATAAATTACAGTAGAACCTCCATAATTGACCATCTTCCTACATTGACCACCTCCTTAAGTTGACCTAATTTTCAGAGACTAGACTTGCACCACATGTACTCAATGGAAGTTCCTTATGTTGACCACCTCCATACATTGACTGGTTTGTTATGGTCCCTTGAGTAGTCAACTTACAGAGGTTATGCTATATTTAATAAGTAGCCTTGTTGAGCTATATGTCCCAATAATGCAGTCTTTCTATTCGCAAAATGATTCTGTGTCTACTTTCTTTTCTTTTTTTCTAGCATAATTTATTTTGTTTTAAGATTTGCCACTTCAAAATATATTTAAAGTCAAAAGGCTTTTATTCTCTTAAAAATTGTTCCCCCCCCAGCTTTGCACATTGCTGAAATCTAGTAAGATTATTGGATATGTATATCATATTACAAAACTACTTTAGTGCTAAAGGATATATAGTATCAAACAAATAGCATATCATTGCAGAAAAAACAAAGATCAGATTATATACTTTCCTTAACAAATACCATACAGATAGTTACATCAGGGAATCAAGATGTAGTTTGGGGATGTGTAAATGAACACATACTGGGAGACCTAAAACTCTGTAGATAAAAATAATCTAGTTGTAATCTGGGATATTTTTATTTCTCTCTTCTAAAATGTGTTTGAAATCATTGTTTTTTTTTTAACATGTGCTTTTAAAATGCCAAAGAAAAAATTTTGAACTTGGGTGCCAATCACAGTATATGTTTTTCTGAATGTTTCCAAATTCTTTCACACTCTTTTTTCACATGGATAATGGGAAGGCTTCTGAGGTTTTCTTTTTTTCTTCTTCCCAGCTGTATTGGCAGAATAATTGGACTGCCCATGTATTGAGCTTTTTGCTTGACAGTATTTGACTTCAAGAATTGTATTTTGCCATCTTTTTCTTCTGTGTATTTGCCTCCTGCTGAGAAAAAAAAGAGAGATATAATAGATTCTGTCTTATAAAATCAGAATTTTGTAATGGTTGAAGGAAGGATAAATGTTAAAGTATACCACTTTTTAAATGTGTGTACAGTCCTATCATATGTAATTTAAGAAAGAATAATGTTACTGATGTATTATTATAATCTAGCAATCTGTGTACACTTTCGTTCACCTGCAGAAAAACAAAAACATTTAAAAAATCCCCCCATTTGCCTTTTAGTTAATTCCAAAAATTGTACACACTTTGTGGGCAGGCCCTCGAGGAGTTGACTCCTGTTCCTTTATCCATCCTGGTTTTATGCAGTATCGTTCCTCTGGCTTCACACATCCCTTTTCAGGTTCTTTCTGCAATCTTCCTTAGGTCCCTTCTTTGGAAGCTTGGTTTGCCTGGTTAGAACATTGTTTCCCCATTCTTGTTCTTGACCTCTAGTTATTTCTCAAGGATTTTGGCATTTGACTTCCCCTCAACCTGTTTTATTACGTGTATAATTCTTGCTATTATCGTTAGTGACTTCTAACTTCAAGTCAGCAAAACATTGAACTCTAAATTCTTGTCTTCACTAACTTCCTATATTATAGTGACCTTCATTCAGATATCTCTGCTTCAGCAACTAATTTCTGTGGTGAAAATTTGTTTTCATCTATGACTGTTCAATGATAAGGCTTTAGTTCCAGTATCTCAGTCTCTTTTATAGTTCTTCTATTCTCTTTTT